TTGACTGTTTCAACATCTGTTTTTGCCCAATACAACAGGTATTTTCAGCAGAATTAACCTATATTGCCTTTAAAAGTAACATGGTGACCTGGATTTGCACTGATATAGCCATACACGTTGGTTATACAACTGTGGATTCTTTATTGATGTTCCAGATTGTATAAATGAGTTTTTTGTGGTTAGCAAAAGTAAAAACTGAAGACCATCCTAACTATGTGAATGGACTAACAACATCGGTTGGTTATAACGCAAACTTTGAACGCTGCGCGCTTTTGATATCGATGGGAGATGGGAATCCATATCCGTCTCATGAATTTCAGTAAATTTTAATAAAATTGTGCACACCAATGACGTGATATGTAAGTTGTTTAATACTAGATACTTTCAAAAGTTATGAATTTGACGGTGCTTGTAAACTGGTATCCCTCATATTAAACCTGGTAAATGAAGACAATATTTACTATTATCCAAACTTTAACACTACGTAGGCTGTAAAGTAATATTTCCTCGTTCATCTCATAACTAGCGGGACCTTCGGCAGTTTTTAATTGAGTTTAATGACATACCGTCAGTACCACTGAGGTCCCAAGTCTTGTAGATATTTTGAGATGTATCAACGTGATGAAGCCTGCAAACTGGCTTCTCTCATATCAAAATCTTTTTTTAACGCGAGACTGAATCATTTATTTATTTGTTTATTCATGGAACTGTAGAAGATGCTACTTAATTCGTGGTTTTAGCTGCTGGTAAAATAAGAACTACAGTCCAAGCATCGCAACATGCATTGTATCTCCTCACCAATGGCACTTTTATATCGTCTAACTATGGTTTTTTTTGACCTTGGAGCTAACGTGGTCCTAGGAGATAGTCTGAAGTCACCGAACACTACTCTGTGATCGCTGCCCGGGGATTCTGGACCAACTTGAAGAGTGAAAGGCAATAATCCATTCTTGATGGCTAGGTCAAGTATGCTATTGTGTCTAGTTGGTTGCACTTCATGTTGACGCCATCCTCCAGAATCCAACACATTAGGAAAATTATCAAACCGCCTAGGAGAAGTAAGTGTCTGCCACTTGATGTCAGGCATGTTAAAGTCACCGCATATAAGTTTCACGGAGTAGGGCAATGTTGTTACGTGAGTGAACACTTCAGCAAGCCTGTCATCATAATCTACGGTAGAGCAAGGGGGACGGTAGATATTCACTAAGAGGACAGTTATAGCATTTGGAAACTTCGCCACAACCCACACTGAGTCACTGAGCGAAGTGAGTTCTGAGATAATACAATTTGCAGCAGCAATGACGGAGCCGATATAGATGATGCAACCACCACCTCTACCATTATATCTATCCCCCCTAAACAGAGTATAATTGTTGACAGAGACTTCATTGTCAGGATTTTCTGGAGTGTACCAAGCTTCAGTGATAAATATTAGGCAGGGGTTAGACATAGTCGACAACATAGTGATCTCACTTATTTTGTTGCCTATGGAACGAACGTCACGCGGACAGAAGGTTGAAGAATTGGATAAGCGGTAGTACCTAAACCTGTTTTCGGAAGGCATTTTCTCGCAGGTCAGTTGGGACTGTAGTGGTGGGGAAAATGGGGTATAATTTAATTCCGGGGACATAATAGGGGAATAAGATACTACTGGGTTACTACTAGTGTCCTTTATTGTGTTAGGTGTTGACCCACTGTATATGAGCCGTGAGGATGACAGGTTTGCGTGACAACTTCCCCACTACTGTAGCGGTTGTGAGTTACGGCTGAAAGCAGCTGATTCGACAGCGTCATCATCTGAACAGCGGAAGGCGCTAATAATTTTTGAAGTCCGCGAAAATCTGGGTCTTCAGAATGAGCCCCGGGTATGGGTGTCTGCGGAAATGAGCTAAGTAAGTCTGTGGTTTCACTTCCTCATGGAAAGAGGTAGGGTGCATTATGTTAGGGAGCCAGTATCACAGGCTGCATCTGAACAGCGGACCTCCAATTAGGAGGTGATATCGTTGTACTGGGGTGAGCATACATTGGATATGAATGTTGTGTAGATGGGTGTGAGGAGGAAAACCTATCGTTTCTCCTATAGCCCTTGTCTTCATGACCATGGGAGGCATTTGTGTTCTGAACATTCTTACTCATGTTCCCTTTCTTTTCACCACCTTGGTGTGTGAATCCTACCCTTCTGTTGGTTAGTGAGGGTGCCATAGTACTTGGTGTCATATCGGTGGACGTCATGAATGTGTCTACGTAGGGAAACGGGGTCACTCTTCGAATGGCGTTATAACCATTAGGTTTAACAGTCTGAATATAGTTACTTCGGGGCTGGCCAAAACGTTTCTGTGCCATTGAATCTGTCGGTGTACTCGGACTAGGACTTTTAGGTTTAGATTTTCGAAACATGGCACTTTGTGACTGTGCACTGGCAATACACCCGAAGGTCAACATGGTGTTTGAGAGCAGTAAAGGCTTAACAGCGTAACTGTACCTGGGTGATGCAGGTTTCGCCGATAAACTCAGGGTAGTCAGGTGCATACCGGACGTATCATTACCACTACCATCCATATCAACATCATCTGAGAATAAATCTGCATAACTGGCGGAGATTTGTCCTTCAGTTTCGGTGTTTAAAACCATGTTGGATGGTGAAACCGTAGCAACTGATGTACTTGCAACAATATGCTCGGTCAGCCGTTTTTGATCTACACTTATAGTGTCATCTGGTACGAAGAGCTGACTCCCAGGCGCCAGTATGTTTCGGGTGGCCATTGGTACTGATGAAGTTTCCAGAGGGACTTCATAAGGTTTCGAAACACGTGTCCGTGTTTGATATGGGGTAAGATCTGGAAGTACCCTAACATTCTCACAGCTTCTTAAGAGTCTCACAGATTTCGAACCGCAAAAGAGTCTCGCATCGAGGATTGAGCTAAACTGGAATAATACTGGACAGGGGTATTTACTGGTCCTCTTTCTAAGACGCCGGACTGTGAAACCAGATTCATGCAAACCACAGGCTTGGAGGAGATCATTTTTAACACGTCTTAATGGAACACTGTCAGGGACATTGAGGACAATGGAGTTGTGCGACGAAGTCAATCGTTTGTTGGCTTCAGTGGCTGCAAAGTTCACCAATGTTTCACACTTGATAAGGTTATCCACTTACAGGTCCGTTGTAGGGTTGAGTGGGCAAATCAGAGGTGTAGGACAGCCTAGTTTATGCTGAAGGTCAGCAATCGCATTACTGTTGCCAACAATATTAAGCTTGTCCGCAATGACATCATTATTTACGTCAGCCATGACGTCAGACAGATCGACAGAAGGACCATTAATAAATAAGCCATTTTCAGATCCTAGTGACGGATTCGAAACTTTTGATCTCTTAGCCCTATGGATTGGTTTGTTTATGGCAGCAATCACGTTACTCATTTTAGGACTACAGGGCACAGACACAAAAAGCAAACATTTATTGTCTGACAATAAAATAGCAAGATGAGGGACTTAACTGCAAAACAGATTAAAGTTATCGGTTGCCTGTCAACCTCAGCTTTTGCAGTAAACTGGTAGATAAAGCAGCAAGATGCTACAACTTCCCGTCAAATAGCGAAGAACACTGGAGTCCAGACCAAAGTTCACGTATTGATGAAAACCAGAGATATGCAACCAACAGTTGCGGAGAAAATGACAGCAACAGTTAGCGGATAACGTATGCTTAGAAGCTTTAATTTGCAGGCGGAAAATGTAACTGTATCGTAGCCATATTGCCGAAATTCAAAAGCACGAGGGAAGCACAATAATAATAATAGCTTATATGTTTCGTACGACATAGGTTATATGAACACGAATCAGTTTACAGGTTTGATCATTTTGGTAATGAGAAATGATTATCATGTACAATGTTAAGACATACATTAGATACCGTTATTCATGGCATATAAGAGGTGTATGGCTGGCCTACTGGTGGTATTTCTGGACGCATTGCAGGTGGTGTTAGTCAATTCAAGAGTTTCTTACAGTGCTTAGCCCATCGTTTCTTTTCTTCACCCTCTTCGGTAACTAGGTTTCCTTCACTATCTTTCACTGGTTTCATCTGAGTTGATCTATTACAGGATAGTAACCTGGCTATTTGGTATAGTGTTGTCAGGTCTCTTTCTCCCTGACCTGTTCTGCTTAACTTGCCGGTGTGTCGTAGTAGTGTCTTTTTTCTTTGCATACACTCCTATTCATTGTAAAATAGCATGCATTCGTATCATTAAATACTGGAGATATAACACTGTTAAGAACCGAGAGTTTTCGTTGATGTTTTCATGAGCAAAATAATATGACTTTTCAGTACCAGAACTCTGACAGGATAAAGTTTCAGCCATCATGACCAGATTCTTCAGAAGTGAGGATGGTACAAGATTCTGCTTATAAGTCAAGAGGCTTTTCTCGACTCAGACAGCGTCATCGTCTGACGCATTGCATGGAGCTATTCTCGGCTCAAGGCTATTCCTAGTTTTCGTAGACTAACTTAAATCTAGCATCGGCCCATCCATTTCACTTCGCACCAGTGACATACAGACACAGAGGGAAGTGACGTTGGAATCATACGCACCACAAGACAACCAGATTTCTGTGATTTAAAACCGAGCAAGTAAATCTGTCTCTTTAATTTAACATAGCTTACTCTCCTCCCGTCTAATTTGTTTTCGTTCTTCATCTACTAACTCTAATTACCTGAGCTTAACACCAGACTGAACAAATATCCAGGAACATGAAGGTTGAATGAGCACTTTGTCCCACAGTCCCAGGACATATCGTGCACATACAAATTTAGACAGCATCCTGCCGCCCAACCGTGTTTACCGGAATTACAGCAAGGGGATGGCCGGATCTACTGCATTGGAATCCAACAAATGCCTAGGACTAGTCCGAAAGACCCAGTAGGAAAAGTGAAATAATCAACTGGTTCACATAAACACGTTCAAGTAGTGTTGGGCATTGAACTGTCGAATAAAAGATCAGGAGGGCTATTCAATACGCACGCTACTTCTAGATTGACTGGTTTTTTGGTATAGGTTCAAAACCGAATCGACCGTTTCATTCAGTAAGAATTTCCCTCGAATATCGCAGATGCATTTCGGTTTGTTGTTATAATCTTAAAAGCGTTGAATTCGAGCTATTCGATCACTAACCTTGAACAATCAGCTGCACTATACAGGCCTTTTGTATGTAGTACATGTTATTCAGATATACATTTGACTTTGTGTAAGACAATGAAGTTTAACCTGACATGCTAACGCTTATGTTCAAGTCTCAAGATATTACAGACGCAGCTCTTACTGCCTGAATTCAATGTTTTGCTTTTTTGGTTTGTTGTCTGATTGGAACCGCTGACCAATTATAGAAGCTTCACTCTACATCTGGGCTCTCCCCAAGAACTAAATGCGTGAGCATTAAGATTCACTTTTATGCAATCGAACTATTTATGTTGAAAGAGGTCGAACCAATAGTATGCATGTCGTATGAGTGAAATGTCCAGTTTGATACTGGTCTGTAATCCTAACTCTAGCTCCCTAAACCTTAGCATTTTATCTGAAGTAAATTGAAAGTCTTCGAAGAGGAAGTTTACGAAAGGGTGACAACTAGTTTAGGGTAAATAGTGTGAAAAGAGGAAATATGTCGCATTTGCTTCACTGTTGTTGCTTTGATTCGATACTTGGCTTTATTTTCTCCTTCTAGATCAGCTTGGGCAGTCGTAGTTAGGCCGTAAGAGAGGGAAAGATTTCTGCCTGACCTGATTGTAATTGGGTAGACTTCAGAAGTTAAATACTAGTCTTCGAATTACTACCAGGTTCTAACAGCTTCACTTAATGTTTTGAGATGAAACTAATAATTTTTGAGGAATTTGACCACGATGTCTGTAATTCTTCATCGCGCTAGACTTCTCGTACCGGAAAGTCATTATATTACTCATGAAAAGAACAATGAAAACTCGTAGATCTTTGCATGGCGGATGTCAATCTATGACCGACTCGCTTCTGACTGCTCATTTCAAAACAGTGAGCTTTAGGGAGGCCGCGTCAGCGTGCTTTCCCAATTCTAACTATCTTACAAAATAAAATGTCCTCTCATTTCGATTTGTGATGTCGTAGTTGCTTGCAATCCAATGTTGCATTCAAATACAATTGTAGTGGGTTGACAAATAAACGCTACTGAGGTTGTATGATTTCTGTAATCCCCGCCGTCAACTCGACTTGTGAATTTGTTTTGTCATCTAGAGATATAAATTCTGCTTCCCTCGTTGAGTAGTATCACACAGCCTAAGTTTCATATTCAACAGGAGTTTTGCCTTTTTGTCCTTAGATGAACCTTTTCATCCTTCAGTGTCTGAGATATTTATATCCAGTCAGCCCATCTTTTGCTGTGTTCAGACCTTTCACTTCAAACTGAACTCGTTTCCACTAAACATTAAGACTCCGATTTCTGGCTCAAGGGTGAAAAGCAATAAATCTATGCCGGTTTTTTCCTAGCCAAATTTTTTTTGTTGAAAGGTTTTCTGCTTGCACTGATTTTTGATGTGAAAACTACTTCCACGGAGACTGGTTTCGGTTGATTGTTCAACTCAGTTGACGCTTCGTCTTCATCTTTTTGCTTTTCTAAGGTGGCATAGATGTGTTACGCATGCTGCTCCTCCAACAGCCCGGGTGTGTAGTTTAGATGCCGGTTCAGCTTAAATCGACCAAAAAGGCTCAGATGTATTCACTTCTTGACATCGTCTAGGACCTAAGTTTTTTTACTAACCGTCGTGTTTTTGAAACTTCCCTTATTTCCTGTTTTTTTTTCTGCTGCTCTTTTTCGTTCCATTTGTTCGATTCATGCTACTGCGAATTGCAATAACTTCCGTGCAAGATTCTACGTTGATTTTGTGTGTCTACCTCTATTGTTAGCTTATGTGCAATTAAAGGGTAGGGTCTAAATAGATACGTCAGACCCAAATTCACTCAGTGGAATTATGTACGTTTGCAGTATATTAAAGATAAAGGAGTTGGACTTCTGAGGTCTTTTTTTGTGAGTTGTATCTTTCATGTCAGGCATTATACAGTTAACTTTCACACTAAAACTATTGGTACTGAGAGAAAAAGAATATGTCAACTTCATGCTTTACCTCCACCTCAATATCATCGTTTATCTTATTCTTTTTAGGTGGCTCTAGAAGTAACGATAGACATGTTTTTAACTGCATGGTAATACCAATATTTACAGGTGTCTTGCTATCGTTACTTTCTCGATGAACCCGCTCTCTAGTTATGTGCTTCTTGATGTCATTTAGGACCATTTAGATTCAATCTTTCAAGATAGAAGTTCCAGGAAACCAGGGGGATATAAGACTACCCGTTAGTAGATGAATATTCTTCTTGCATTATTTGATTGTGAGATATTGCCCTTCAAGTTAAAGTACGTGAAGAGATTACTAGTATTTGATGAGACGCCTCTAAAAAAATTTGAGGTCAGACACATTCAAATAAATGAGTAATTTTTCCCGTTTTAGCTCACTGGTCTAGGCAAATAATTATTTATATTTGAAACAATTAGTCTCTTTTTGTAAGTTTCGACAACGCTATTAGAAGACGAAGATTATCTGAAAAATGTGACGTATTTGCGCAATACATTTCGAGCAATCTGATCACATATTTACTTGTCAAGTTAATTTATATATGAAAATGAAAAGTCAAATATAATGAATATGAAAAGGTTGTGGCACCAGTCTTGGTAATATAATCAGATAAGGATTACCAAAGTCAGTTAAGTGGAACAATAAATTGTTTTTGTACACGTGAAGACAGCCTTCAAGACATTATACAGGAATAATCAGGGGCACATACTGAAGTTTGCCGAAGCGCTAGCTATTCGTAAACTTGAGCCCCCCTCTGTGCGTACAGAAGCAATTTGTTATTTCACTTAATTGACCTTGGTAATCCTTATCTGATTATATTACCAAGACTAGTGTCGCAACCTTTTCATATTCATTATATTTGACCTTTAATTTTCATATATAAATTGACTTGACAAGTAAATATGTGATCAGATTGTTGGAAATGTATAGCGCAAGTACATCACGTTTTTCAGATACTCTTTATCTTCTGATAGCGTTATCGAAAATTAGTTTTGTATCTGGAAAAATTCTCCAGTTACCAAGTTTCATACACTTATGTGGCTTCAAATCGCCAATGTGAACTTAAGTCTAATGCACAGAGCTCCATTTGAAAACTAGATGTATAAATATTGTCTTAAATAATTCCCGTCGTATGAAAATTAACTGACAAAAGAAGTATGACTGCAGCATGATGTGCGCAAGCATTAGTTCTCTTTATGTCGGTTACAATTTCCCTGGTTACTGCCATTCAGCTTAATATCACTAGTGTTTAAGCAAGTGGCGTATCAGCCAGTTTATAACAGCAAGACTTTTAGAGTAAAATATGATGTACATATATTGATCACCAGATGTTAATCGATGTAAGTGTCAAGTCCTGTATACTTCGCATTAAGGAAGTCTCACGATTATGTTTACATTCTGGTCACTTAAACAGGTTGGATTAGGTTGGAAGGAGGCTCAGTATCACCAGACCAAGATGTGATACCAATCCATAGTCTCTGACTCTTGGTCTGAGCTATGTAAGGTGTAGGTTACCTGGAGGAAATCCCCGAGATCCGAAACCAATTATTGTAGACTCTTGGCGAGATGGCTGAAGATTTGTCACAACGATGCAGATGTATTGACTCTTAGATATCGTCTAGAGTTTAAGCGTTTTCGCTGACCTTCACTTTCAAATTTCTCCTCCCATACACCTTTGTTCATTCGGATATCACTCTTATCCTACCCACTTTTGCTTTGGATGCTAACTTGAATTGTGTCAACTTGACTCAATGAACTTGTATGTGAGGTTCTACGTTGGTGTTGTATGCCTGGTGTGGGCACTTGACGTCCAATCAATGGGTTACGGGCTCGAACCCATCCTCACCTACTGTGGGCTGGGTAGCTAAGTAGTATCATTGACTCTCGCGAAATGGGTGTAGCTCATTGCCTACTGTATAAACTTACGCATAGTTGTTGAGTCGGTTTTGATTTGATTGAGATCAATTCACTTGTTCTTTATTTATTTTGGCTCCAGTTTTATTTTCACAGTAACTTAAGTCATTCATATGCTAGCTTTTTGCCAAGTCCCTTGCAATAACTTTCTTATCCATCCTATTTCTTCCAGACGTGTGACATTCCTGTTCCTTGTCAATTTTCTCATTCAACGCGAACTTTATTGGGTAATGATTGGTGACTGATGAGCACCTTTGAGTAATCTTATACAAATGAACTTCAGGGTCAGCGAAGAGATCGTTTGTACTGTGATTGATTCAAAGACAAACTGTCTATGTGGTGAATGTATAAAGCGGAGTTCTTGTAACGGTATTACTTTCCTCTTCCTGAAGAATAAACTCTGGGTTGAGACTATTTCCGATGTTGAATTGTTTGAAAGACTAAGGGTTTGGTTGCTGTACATAATATATTCAAATAATAAAGACCCTTAATCCGCAGTTTGAATTTCAAGGTGATACACTTCGACATACTGTTCATGATTGTGTTCGGTTTGGAGAAATGATGGTTGATATCCAGCCGTCTGATGTATGTAACGTTTGCTTCCAGTACAATCTGGGAGAGTCTGTGATAAATTGGCGCATCAGTGCTGTTGTTCCTGTTTCTTCGGTGGTATTTGGATACTTCTGTTACTATTATTGTGCATAATTTTAACTCTTAGCTTCATTATCACGTTGTTCTCCCGCTTTCATTGGCAATGGAATCACTTTGCAGGAAACAAGATTTACTCAATAATAAGTTGTCGGCGCTTGATCGTTACACAAATCGACTTCGTGAAACATTGATGCTTCCAAGTAAATTTTATTGCTTGAATGTGAAACTAAATTAGTGAATCTAGATACAAAAAAAGAGGATGCAAATCAGGTTGGTGGTAGTTAATTTGGAAACGATTTTCTGTTTCCCTACAAGTGTTGAGTTTCAATGAGATGTTAACTATAACTATAACCTTTAGTGTTTCGATCATTCAATAACTTTTTCATGTCTGATCGAGATATAAGAATTTGCCACATTTTCTAACTGAGGAAAAGGACAGAAACGGTTTCTGAAGATAAAAGAAGGTTGGGTATAGAAATAAGCTACGAGGAGCCGTTTTCAAGAATGTTTCGGTACAATTATCATTTCCACTTTCTTTTCTAAAGACACTAAGCACTCCTTAACAGGATTTGGTTCAAGAGGTAGAAGTGTAGTGGGTTGGTGTTTATTGATTCAGATGTCTACCCAAGTTGCTTTTATCTTTTTCTCGAGTCGGCATGCCGCATGTAGTCCAAACCGAAGCAGGCAGAAACAGTGATTATTAAATGGGGTAGTTCTGCAAATAAGATGTTTCTTTTCGGTTCAAAACTGTAGCACACAATACGCGGGGTTGATTGAAGGCTAAGTGAAGGCCTAAGTCGCAGTAAGATTCAAACCAATGGCCCCAGGATCGCTATTGAGGATCAATTGACTGAGCTACAAGACCCATCGCCTTTCCATAAAATAACAATCGGTGACCTTACTTTCCCTGTCCTACAGCCTGCATTTGAATGTTACTGAAGTTAAAGTGGAAAGACCAAAGTGAATTCCAATTATACTATGGATGTCAACTGTGATTCATATACTTTGCATATTTTTGTGTGATTTTAAGGTAAGTTCAACGTAATTTTTTTTCTCTGACTTCGCTATTGCGCATACGATCTCAGTTGATTCTACTGAAAGGTACCATTGTTTGATGTGGCAATTAGGTATCAGTGTACTTCAACCATCCTGAAGCTATAACTAATCATGCTATGGAGCATAGAATCATGAGTACAGCAGAGAACAAGTTGGTTTGTTGCGCAGATTATAGTGCCATTAAGAATTGACTTACTTCTGTTATTGAATCCTGCTTTATCGCGTTAGCTTTTGGAAAGCGGTATGCATGCGATAAAAGAATGTTACTACTGGGTTGTTTTCGTCAGTTGTAGCACTCTTATTTTAAATGTCACTCTCTTCCTATGTAACTGTCTTCAAAAAATACATTTCACGCCCACATTTTCTGACCTACTATGTTGCTGTAATAAGAGTCGTGCAAATTTATTTTCTTTGTCATACATTAGGGGTTTACTATTAGATTTGCCAGTAAAGCATTCTATCCAAGCTAGGATGACAATTGTTTATCTGTGGTAAATGCAATATACTTTTATTCATCAGTTTCAGTCTTCACACTCTTTCCAACCTTCTTGATTTGACTAGCTGATGATTAGTGTTGCTGTTCCATATACAATAAATGCTCCACGTAGTTATCACTGTAGATGTCCACTATCATTGGGATGTGAGTTTATTTGATCTACTGCCAATAATAATCAACTATATCACTTTAAGTCTCCCGTTGTCAGTTTTGACTATATTACAAACGTCAATCGGAAAACTTGCAGTTTTCCACACACTTTAGAAAAACGTTTAATGACTTAGTGGCGTGTTACCGTGTTTTTGGTTTTTTGCACTCCGCGTTTTACCTAAGGTAAAATAGGACTTCATTAAAGTGTTTTCGCCACCTCATTTACCGCTGCACCGTTTACATATGATTCGTTACACACTCACTGGTGTTCACCATGCTTGACTTTGAGTAGAACATTCGAATAGATATATACTGAACTTCAGTCGGCGTAAGAAAAGCGAACGCAGAGATAAACGTTTGGATCCATGTTATGGTTTTGTCATTCGTCAATCCGCTACCAATGGCCTGACTCCTGACGTCAATGAAGTGGATTACACCACCAACTTACTCCATCCTAAGATAAGTTAAAGAGGGAAACCAACCGTGTGGTATTGCTTTGCATTTTGGAGGTTGGAGCTACATTTTAAAAACATTCTCAAATTGTCACCTAGTTGCAGAAGGCTGAATCTTGTCAGTGTTTGCGCTTAACGAAACTAGGTTGTTTGTGTATTGTACATTTGTGGAGAAATCTGCGTTAGGAAGATCTGTTCTTGAAAAGGTGGAAGCGCTCATACAAAAGAGAATATTTCTGAGAAATGGAGAAAGCGAGGGAGAAAGTAGACATTTTTGAAGAAAGCCACTTCGCGTAACCACCTCATAGAACAATTCACTGTAAGTGTTGATGCAACCACACCTTTTTAAGTATAGGGTCGCCAGTAAAGTCGTTTCCTTAAGTTTCATAGACAGAAACCTGCAAAAGACCTGTTGACCAATAGAGTGAAACTAAACCTTTATCTCGAGAAATTCATTTAGTTTTAACACCTCTAGACGTGTTTTGTTCCACAAGGTGAAGTTTTGATCTATACAAATCCAACTAAAACTGAAATCTGCGAAACTAATCCTATTTCAGTGATATCCGCACACTTGAAAGCTAATACTCAGTTTAACCGCAATCATTGACTAGTGCGATGTGGAGGTTATGCGTTCATCACGTCCTCATACTATTGAAAAGAATTTATTGAGCACATAATCACACTCAAGACCATGGAGTTATGCTGCTACCGGATATTGAGTTTGCTTGTATAGCTGTTAGTACTTTTCATAAACAGTGCAGAATAAACTTCACGCATCATAGTTTTGATTTTATTGTGTGTATTGAAAATATTCGTTGAACTGAGATTGTCTACTACAGTTGTTCTGGTGACGTGCTTATCATTTGCTTCAGTTCAACTTATTTTTTGTAAATGTGTACTGAATTGGATAGCTTACCTACCAGTTAGAAATTCTAATGTGTCTACACAGATTAAACACTTTCATTTCGCCATCTTTTCTTTACAATGGCTCATTGCTAAGTCTCGTTCATCCTTTTATTTTTCTTTCATTACCAGGATTTTGATTTGACATATGACTTTTCAGGGGGTTTATTACCATCATCAGTCAGTCGGAACCTTTTCTGCGAGGCGTCTAAACATCTATTCACACCGGAAAGTAAGTGTCAGTAAAATTATTAACCCAGCTAGTGGAGAATGTTTCGTTGTCTGAGATACAAATGGTGCCTGGATGTGAGTCAAAGGAAGATCTAAGTACAAGTGATTTGGTAAGCTTCTTAGAATCGAGTGACTTCAATTTTTTCATGCATTGTACCACGTATGATATTAGTTTTCATTACGTATCTGCTGTGACCGATAGTGCGACCTAGCAGTCTACAAGTGATGTGAACCTAACGCGCAGAAAATCTACCTTAATCGGCGATCAGAACGTCAACCAGCATAACAACAGTACCACCTGCACGCGACGGTCAAAAGAGAAGATGGACCAGTGACATAGGGCTTTAAATATTTCAACAACAGTCACAACAGTCGAGAGTGATGCAAAAAGTATACATTCTAATCGACCTTGACAAACGCTGAATTCACTGATAAGTTGAAAGAGTTAACCGGTGAGAGTTCAGCCTTCAGAAGCAGTGGGAAAAACAAAAGCTATCACCGGCACCAATAGAGCGCGAAAACGGCTGGAGAAATATTGGAGTCCTGGGAGCACCAGATAGTTTTTTCCTTGTATAGGGCTCCTCAATAGCACATCCCTGTGATCCTACCAGGGGGTTGAACCTAAGGCTTTCAGGTTCCGCGTCCACCAGGTCACCGTTGAGCCGCGGGGTCGGAATCTGATGGTGACGATGGGTAGTGTCTAGCATTGTAATCCAGGACCCGCGTCACGTCTTATTTCAAACTCTTCAGCTGGATGCACTTGACCTCCTCTGGTGAGTGACACTGTTCCCACTAAAATTTAACCTCAATGCTCATCGCTTCAAAAAACACCAGAGCGTTATCCCTGGGGCCGCTGACTCACCACAACCACTGCTTGACAAATTCATGTGAAGTGTCTTAACTACCGAACATACTTCAAATCGATATACACTGGAATAGTTTGTGGATGTAACACTTCACCATGGAAGATAATAAATATTATATCTAACTTACAGTGTTATCACAAAGAATTTGGCAGATAACATACAACAAAAAAGTTGTGTGAACTTTAATTCTGTGCTGCTAATACTACTACGAGTACTCCATATTTCGGCTATTTGTTACATGGTGTGCGAGAGTCGAAATCCACTCAGCTGCCTTTTGCACATTCGTGTGGTAGGCAACAAGTCACACCTAAAGTGTGAGGGTCGATGTTACCGCCTGGTTGCCCATACATCGGTAGGTGAAGCAGTGTTCGAGCCCGTGGTACACTGGCTCAAAGTCAACTCCATAAACCAATGAGCCACATCTCCACGCACACACACACACACACGGTGCACATACATAGGTCTAATGTTTAGGAATGTAAGCAAACTCGAGAAGGAAATTGAAAGAAGTGTGCTGATTAAACTTTAATTTTGAGGGGGAACAACTTACGGAGAGAGAGAAACCTATGCTCAAGATCCAATGTATTTTTCCGAATCTTTTCATTTGTTTATAGGAGGCTGAGACGAAACGAAGAAATGAACTTCATAAAAAGTTGGCAGGTCAACTTGTCAAGTCTAAGGGTAAAGAAGTGAAAAGACATGGAATACTTCGCAAATAGCCAACACTTACTTATCCCCTTATAATAATTCATTTTCATTTGTCTGTGTCTTCCTTCGTGTATACTATTTTTGTTGTCGTTGGTTGATGGTTCCTTGATTGATTTTGGGTTTGTTTCGTCACAGGTTGTAGATGGAGTTTGTATTCGTTGGGCAATTCCTTATTGGTGCATAGCCGATCGCAGAAATAGATTCCGTGTAGACGACATTTAGCATTCACCTTGACACGATTTAACCCCGTAATACGTGTTTTGTAACAATATTCCATCAATCTTTGTAAATCAAATACAACAGTATTCCAACCGGGATGTAATACTAATGGCATATTAGTAGTGAACGCTTTGATTGTTGTAATTCAACTGGAATTGCTTGCACGAAATCGTTGACGTACGCCTCCGTAATCTAGAACTTCTATCTGAAATGTAAAATATCTATCCATATTTTTGAATAGTAATACAAGTATAGGCATACGAATGCCTGATGTTTGAGTTTGACAACTGGGACATTCAATGTATGTTGTTGACACGTTTGTCCCGCTTATATTTAAAACTAGAGAACGGATTTCTGGATCTAAAACACGTTGAATTGTTCCATATTTTGAACTTGTAGCCCAATTTATTAATGGTTTTTGACCAGCACTGTGGAAAATTGACAGTAATCTTGACTGATACGATGATCTATACATTGTGTTAGTATCTAATAACTCCTTGATCTGAATATTGATCGATTGTTCTATATTAAAGCAGATCGATTACGATAGAGTTGACTCATTGATCAGCTGTAAATGAAGATTGGTTCACTTCCACCTGCAGTATGATGACTTTGGCTGAAGTATAGTTGATATGTCGATTGAAGAAAGGATGATAAACATAATAACCTCAAATAGGTGTGATCAGTCAATTTACTCATTTTTAAAAGGGATTCAACTGGAGATTTATTTTATATGATTGTGGTCTATAGGTTATCTTAAGAGCTTTTTATTAACCCTTCACACCTTTGCGTACGGTTGTTGGCTCCGAGATAACTGTGCTTATTTTGATTAAGTCCAGCTATTGTGCATTATTCCATTTCTGACGTTTAAAATCAGTCATTTTATTTCTACAGCTTATGCTGTGTTGTGTGCATGGAACTTTACTAACTCAAATATCGTGGTATTAGGAAAGTGAGAACCTGACTTCGTCTTCTGTTTTACAGCTTTGGGATGGGGGATAGGGGGTGCAAAATAAATCGTGTAAGTATTTTCGTGGTATTTATATGCTGGATCGGTGTTGGAGGTCACTCAAACGACCAAGTGATTCAGTTACTTACCACTTTGCTGTCATAGTAGACAAAGTACGTACAGATTCAAAAATATTCTATGTGATGTGGATTTTCTATCGGTTTACTACCGGTATGTTATGATGAAAAGTCTTGGAAAATTCATCGCACTGGGTATTATAGACCATGACTAGCTCGGCACAGGCGCATCTGATCTAGAACGGATATTAAAGTGTCTTTCTCAGTCGTCCATTATATCCCCAGTAGACCACCACATAGAGTAAGCTTTTATCTTCTCCAAACAGATAGCCAAAACAGTTGCTAGTGAAATTATGAAACCTGACTTACGTGTACAGAAAATGTTTCTCCAAACACTTTTTCTTCCGTGGTCATGTGTTAACGCTGAGGTGATGTAATTTCGTCTAACTTCAACAATTTCTATTCTTATGTAATACTGAATTTTCGTTCAGTTTTATATTTGTTTTCCTCAAATAATTCTTTATGAAATTCGTATTAGCCTACTTTATTTATTTCGCGTTTTAATTTCGTTTTGGTTTCATATCTGTCTAATTCTCATCCACGTGTTGATCACTTTTCCATTTGATTTTTGCCTCTTCAAGTACCCGATTATGTAACTCCATATTTATTAATCATGTATGTATATACACTCTAAAGGTTTGCTACAATGTATCCGAACTTCCTATTTGAAAGTCAAACCTGATGCATTTCAAAATCTGTCATATGCCAGTGTACTGATTCATTATCGGACTAGACACAAAATCAACGTAGAACCTCGCACAGAAACTGCATAGATTCAAGTTACCACTTCACAGTACAGGTGGACAGAAAACGAGTGTTATCAAAGTAGATAAAGTTGTATGCAACAATAATTAATCTGAAGACAAAGGTTAGTGCGAATATTTAAGCTTTAAAAGATGTCAAGGAGTGAATACATCTGTGCCATTGTGACTGATTTTCAGCCATGTCACCAAGACTTCTCAACCACTGATTCCTATTGTCTCAGTGACTCCGACCAGGCAGCTTATATCTTCCAAGACGGCTGAAAATAACGGCAAGATACTTCATCGACTGGTGCCAAGTCTCGGTCATGCCATCCTTAGCTTTCCTGCAACCGGAACTAACTTTTCCTAACATTGCACGTCGAGATGTGGGTTGGGTCGACGTGCGCTGCACATGTTCAAGCCATCTCGATCGACTAACGTTCACAACCTCATCGGTCGACTTGCTTGTCTTGCCTGTTGCCCTTCGTCTGATTTCAGCATTACTCACACTGTGAATCCAACACGCGCTAGCAATGCTTCCAAGACACCTATGGTCAAAACCTTGTAGCCACTCTATATCTCCTGCTTATAACGGTCATGTCTCAGCCATATAAAAAGACAGAACACATTGCAGGGGAGTATTCTCGTCGTTTGATAGGTAGTTGCATATCTCTACAGTCGGCGCTGGAGGTGATGTGGGTTGGCAAATGCCAAACGGACCTTTTATACCCGAGCTGAGATTTCGTCAGGAACCCGTTCTCGCTGACGTAACTCCCCAAGTAAGTGAGGTGCTCTACATATTCCACCACAACCCAGCTCAGAGAACACAATACAACCAAGACCATCCACTTGAGCTACAAATATTCTCCACATTCCACTACTTCACTCCCTATCGGGTTTTGAATTCTATGTACTTACAGTAAACTAATGACCATCCTATCTTCTTCGTTAATGTGTCTATTCCTTTTTGTTAATTTTGTTGTTGTCAAAGTGTTGCTACTCAGATCGGTATGTAACTATATGATATTCTAGGGTGCTGAATAATTATGTCGTTTTGTTTTGTAATTCTGTAGCTAATCCAGTAAATGTTTAGTCAATAATATATTCGAATATGATAAGGCAGAGTCTATCGCAAAAACATATTTCGTATAGTCAGACTACATATTTACTTCCCAAGGCATTTTATATAACGAAGGAAGATAGAATGGGATCAGACAAACAAAGCTCAGGTAATACAAGATTTGAAAATGACAGGTTGGCCAAGAAGTTACTCTCACACCAAGCTTGGTGCTAAAGTGATACTACTAAGATTACCAAGGAAGGTCAGAAGTAAGGATAAATTGTTTTTGAGTGCACAAAACAGGGTTAGAATTCCGTGTTGTTTTGAGGTTTATTTCAGAGCATAGACTTTGTTTTCTCCGGAATCATAAGTTTGGCTCTATAATACATCCTCTTAACAATCAAGTTAAGTCTTCGTCCTTAAGTCCTGTTTTTTCCCACCATATATAATATAGTTATGTACAAGTCTCGCTTCAAGACAGAATCCCACGCACATCGGTCTTCTTATTGACCCATTTTTCCTTCTAATCAATGGCATATCCGGGAAAGGTAAATGACTGCCATTCCTTACTCTGCGCGGTGGAATGATATGACTATACGGTGTTAATTTTCTCCATTAGGCTTGTTGCATCGTCTTATCTGTTTCATAGTAACATGATGTCATCAGCATATCTCATGTACAGAGAGACCTTATTGGTTAACTCTGTAGCAAACAATTCCACATGTCATGTATAAAAATCAACTAAAGACGATCCTAAAGAACTACCCATAGCGACACTATCAACTTGTTGTAAACGTTCGCCTTCCACAGTTAAATGAACCTTATCAAAGTAAGAGTAGTGAGAGTTCTTCTAAATATATTGGAGTGATAAAGGATATAAAGCCATAGGGAATCTCAGTAGATGACGGGGTGAAATATCTTAAAATGGTCAGAGAAACAGCTTCATTGGAATAGTCCGATACTTACAAAGGTTACACAGACATCATTATCTATAAGCAAACACATCACCGGATCAACTCGAAAACGGTCATCAGACCATCAAGTAGCTGTCAGGACCGTGTGTTCATATTTACTGAAATTTTAGCTATACGGAATTCGAAATCCCTTTGCATATTCGGAAACATATGAAAACGAAAAGTAGTCCAGTGATAAGGCTTGTTTTGGTGATTTCATATCCAAAGCTATACGATCGTAGTTATATACACTATTCGTGAGCAAAGTTGTTCAATGTTCGGAAAAGAAAGCTAACTAGATCTCTTGCAACGACGTATCTGAAGCTTGGATCCTTCAGCTTATGAAATAGACCTGGGAAAAATCCAGATCGGAAGTGAATATCCACTTCGTTTCTCAAATACAAAAATCAAGCACAAAACTAGGAGGGGCCTCAGTTGTGTTGAAGAAGGCGGTTTACATGAGCTTTGAATCTGAATGTGATCCAGCTTCTGACATTATAGATAGAATGAATTCAAGGTTGATGAAGAACATTCTGTATAGCGACTAGTCCTCATCAGTCATTTACTATTTCGTAACAATCTGAATGATGAGGTCTGGCTGTTGACTACCTCTAGGTGTGCATGCCAATTCATCTGATCCTGTACAGCTAGATATATCGGTCGTCCAAAGTGAATATTGCCCTAAAGGATTCAAGAACATCATCCTGCATTGTTGCAAAGAGGTGAGATCGACCCCATAAGGAGTGCAATAATTGAACACTTCCTCGACACTTAACACGCAATCTGGACAATGTCCTGTTTCAAGTTTATCCACAAGGTGAAAAGAAGCCTGCCAAAAGCAGTGTGTTCACCAACTTTGTATTGCCACGTAGGAACTTTTAGGGTTTCAAATCACCCCCTTGTTTTTCCTTCATCCATCCCGCTAATTTTTTATGTAATTTGAACTCTTACTTATCTATGCTCCGTGATGATGAAAGGCGAAATGAAAATCTGTGATGCGGCAGAATTCGAACCATCGGTTTCCAGGTTGCTGAAAATCGATTCAAGTATTTTATTACCTCACTATTATCTGAACTAATCGCTGAAACGATGATACAGAAGTTAGAGTCAGTAATCAAACTGAGATTTTGGATTCATTACGTCGACAACACTTCTAGCTATCAAAACAAGCGAAGTGGGAAACATCCAATCTCACTAATCGGACTTTTGAACGTATTTGATTTCCAAAAGAAGGAGAAAACAACAAAATCTCATTGCTACATACTTCTATCAGTAAAACAACTGATGAAACCTTACGAACTCGTGTGCTTGAAGATGGCACATAAAGCAAATCTCAAACTATAACAGTAAAAACCCAACGTTTAAGAAGAAAAGCACTACATCCATGTGACAAAACTCATTGCAGCACTCAACGACTGCGGAAGTCAAGAGAAAGTCACCTCTACAAAGTGTTGAGAGTCAATGACTATCCACTCAACTTCATTGAGCAATGTCTGTCGACGGTGCACACGTTACGACAATTACCCCAACCTAGAAAGCAAATCACTTTTTCATATACATTCAAGATTTCTCAGAAACTGTCAAACCGATAATTTCACCCCTTTGGTATCGGCGTGGCATGCAAACCAAACTAATCCCTGCAGAAAATCTTGCGCAAACTGAAGGGTCCGCTACGCCATAAAGACAAGACGAATATAATGTACAAAGTTATAAGGAGTGTGAACGTCATTATGTTGGCCAATGCAGTTGTCTAATAGACACATCAACTATTAGTCAGATGACACAATATAGCATCATTGATATCGATGCACGTAGATGATCACGGCGACAACTTCGATTGGGAAAACGTAAAAGCATTACAACAACCAAGTTCAACACATGCAAGAGATTTTATGGAAGCAAGGTGCTCCAGCCAAATGTCAGCCAGCAGACACGTGGTCAACAACCCAATACACGAACTACTAAGAAAGGATCAGCAAATCGAAAATCAGTCATGCGAAACAATAACCAGACATTAGGTCTTACAGGTCAGCTTCTGGTAAAAACGATCACCCCCATCCATCCTAACCGACAACGCTCAAGGATAGCGAATACTCTTCGTAAACATCCATGTAACCTGAAAACGCTTCTCTTCTTTATGAAATAAATGTTGATGAAACCTTCAAGTTCATCATACTAAGCCTAGTGACATTTAGACTAAAATATTCAAAAAACCTTGTATACATGCTGAAAGGAACGCAATGATGGTCAAACCAAGAATATGCTACATGCTGTGGTCACTGGAAAATTGATCGACATTCAGCCAGTTAGTCACCAGTTCGGACACCTCTCCAGCTACCAAGGTTTGGGCAGCTACGTAGTGTTAAAGATTCCTCGAAACAGGCATTACTCATTACCTGGTGCGCGAAACTACATGTGGTCAGTGAGTAATGTTTGTAGTCACATGCTGCGCTGAGAAAAAAACATTTAAGAGGTCGAACACTCGTTACGTTATGAACTGCTTTCCCATCAATACATTTGTATTTTACCAAACGTATTATCAACTGAGCTGGACATTAGTTTATGATAACTGCAGAGACCGACCCAATACACCTTCAATCCAATGTGTACATAACAGACACTGTTTGTGTACCATGATGTGAGCCCCATTTGTTTATTGTGTTGTTGATACTACTTAGACCGAAACAAGTGGAGGGAAGTTGGAACCCAAAACTCTGGTCGGAAGTCAAGGCGAGACATCGTGAAGCTACAGCACTCAATGGCTCCTCTCGTTAATTTTTTAGCAAAAACCAAAACGCTAATTGAAGATGTATGTATGTACATATTGGTATTATATAATACATTGAGATATACACAAAATAATCGAATACAAGAAAAGTAGAAATTAATGTAGTGGAAAACATCAAAATGGTTCAAGATACAAGAAGTATACACATGAGAAGTGACTGTTACCCGTAGAAGTGATCACATTCAAAACGTTTTTTTACTGAATAACACTAAGTAATAAATTTACAAAAAGAGAAAAGAAGCACTCCTTGGGATTTTGGAAAGACTAAGTGTATGGTAGGGGTGAAAATAAAGGGAGGCTGAACCTCCGCCTCACATAAAGAAAGCGTAGCATCATCTTGTTTCAGTTCGATATGTTTCATTTGAGTGGGAATTCATACTAAACTGTTCGATAAAGGCCTGCTTGACAGATATCACATGACGAGCGAGGCGCACAGCATCATCCCAACGTAAACCAACTAACCTATGCAGAACAGGAAGTGTTAATAACATAAATGCTTGTCCATCTACAGCTTCAGCTGCAAGCCATGGCCACATTTCCCGACAGTCAGTACTGCCAAGATATGAGGCCAAGTCAACAGGTGTCCAAAACATAGGATTACTTGACAAAATTACTCTAGGAATATTACTGAGCAATGGATCAATGTCTTCCTCCATTATCGGGATATGATGTAGGGGTAATAGTCCTGTCGTTGGGCTCACAGTTTCTAAGCCGTTTCTGTTTGAATAACTCGGAATAGCTTGTGAGGATGAACGATTGCTTGATGACGGAATTGACAAGTGGTTAGGATGCCACAAACGATGAGGATTAGAAACAGGGGGACTTTGTACATTTCGAAGCGACCTGCTATCAAAACCAGCACTGCAAATAGGATAATTAGAAGAGTTTGGATTGGATGATCCGTCTACAGACGATGTTTGACAGCTAGTCATAACCGTGTTAGATGTTTTGTGACACTTTCTACTCGTTAAATTAGGAGGTTTAGAACGGAGAGATCGTTTAGACTTGGTACAAGCACTACTAACAACTTTGAAACCATTCGACATTTTTTTAGAGCAATGTTCCGTGGAGTTTCGCAAGTGGTTCTGATATTTACGTTTAGCTCTGTTAATATTTTTGGTATTGGCTGAAGTGAGAGTTTTGGAATCTTTCGACTGAAAGTTGGATTGCGATTCAAGTCTGTTTACCCAATTTAGGCTGTTTTGGAATGCTGCCGTAGATCGAGTTATATGACCACCGGAAGCTCCTGAAACAATACGATTCTGGTCACCGTCAGTACAAGATGGGTCTGTAAATGCTCGTAGAGCAGTCAGACGCCTTTTCCACCCTGGAAGACGATCGAAATAACGAGAGCGTAGACGAACATTGCAAAACGACGGGCAGTCATGATTCGAAGACATAATATTTTCGAAGGGAATCTGAGTTGGTTCATTAAGAAATAGACGATCAGTATCGACTCCGATGATGTTTGATGACGTTGATGATTTTATTTCCCCAGGTGATATAGGAGGGACAAGAGTGAGAAGATGTGGGCACGCTTCAAAAACTAGAGATATCTATGAAAGAAGAATATAAATGAAGTGCAATTTATCATCCTTAGCATAATCAAATCTCCAAGTAAAAAATGTAGTTACTTTATTTAGTCTAATACACATGAATGGGAGTTGAGGATTGGGTTTGTTGACGACAGCGTTCTAACGTACGCAAGTTATCACCTGAAGTTGGATGAGTTAATCTGGTTGATGATAGTTTACACAAGCACCATATGCCTATCTCTCCGACGTTAATTCTACATCCACATTCACAAGGAAGTGAAGCTGTGATTCACTGGCTGTGGTATTTAACATGACATTGAAACGTTCGCCAATCAAAACCCCAGCTCAGACAACATCTTAGTGTGAACACATTGTCATATTTTCTGAGCCTTATGAAAATTGATGTGCGAGGGGAATAAGATTTAAAACAAAAGTTAGGAAAAGAAAATACATATTTTCAACTGCAGGGTAGATGGGTATTAGGGTGTTGTTGTTTGAAATAGAGATCTACACTGCTTTTAACAAGTGATGAAATAAAGCATTATGAAACGCTTATCTATGTACTAGGAGTTGAATAAATGCATATACTTGTAAAAATAAACATGAGCCGCAAGTAGAATTCATGAACAACACAGTCAGAGGTGAGAATTTTAGTGAAGAAACATGACTGTTATGTTTCCGCTCACTTATAAACGAGTGAATACTTTTCGAAACTTGGCAATAATAAATTTCAACTTTCACAATATGTTATTTTAGGAGTTTTGAATATATACTGCAGTTGCGCGTTTGACTGCGAATTTGGAAAAGTAACAAAATAAGGTCACAACAGCACCCAGTATTTCCCTACAACTATTACCGGAGACAAAATTTAAAACTGAAATCAGTAGTGCATCTGATCAAACTGTTGCAGTCCCCCATACTATACTTAAACATGAGAAGAAGAGCGGGTTAAATGGAAATTAAGATCGTATGGTGGTAGACAAGTCCAACTGCGTTACTACTATTGTAGTAGTGTGGGTTGCTGGTATAAGCGTGCAACTTCTGGCATATGGGTTCCAATCCCACCCCATCTACGGAGGTTAAATAGTCAAATAGCATAACTTGGTACATAGTAGCTAAGTTGGATTATCATGACTAATGCCGCAGTTTTTCAACAATGTCACGTAAGATCGCTAACCAGTGATTTTAAAGCTTATGGTCAACCTACCGATTGCCTTCATCCAACTAAAATCTTACACTTTGCGAAATAATTCAGACTATCAGTAGGTGAGCTAACGGATTGTTACAATGTCTTGATCTCCTAATTTTTAAAATCATTCTATTATTCCTACCGAGCCGAATGTAACATACTGATATGGACATACTGGCCATACACGCATCTCAACTTTTCAAATAATACAAGTTCAGATCATCATGAAGAGATTTCCATAGGTTCAAGGGTTACACAGAGTGCGTGACAAATGCACAAGCCATCTCAGTCACTTAATAAACCAAGCTTTTTTTAAAAGTTGTTTATTTTCTCGGACAGTATTATTGATGAAAGCTGATAGGAGACGAGCAACAGAGTCATTTCAATCCTTGTAAACGAACAACATTACCCAGTAATTCATATGTCTAACCTAATACCTTGGGAACGATCAGACGTTAACAATAATACAAAGACAGTCGTGGTTAGATGCTAGCGACCTTCTAATGTCTTCAAATTCCAAAAGTCACCCAACATACATTTGCGCTACACACTCGACTTTTAAAGTCGTAAATGAACACCTCAGCTATAATATACAGCGTGTCTGACAATAAGATAAAACTCTTCAGCGCTAACCCAGAGCCTTGATGACCAGTTCACTTATGCATTCACAGCCCAAGAAAATGGAGTAACAACGTATTTATTCAACCCTTCAATTCCTTATAGTAAGTCTGGTATCAAAACGCATAGCGAAAAAGTCTACATTGATGTAATTCTGTATCTAATTAGCACTATCGCTCTGTAAAGACGAATTCTTCAGTGGTCACATGAACTGACCCTACTAGAATTCTTTAATAGTGACAGCACATGTCGATGGCAGTGAAGAAATAACCAAAAATAGCACACATTCTGGAGCAGAACACAAAAAAAAACTATAACTTTAGATGAACAGACATAATAGCAGTTAGTGATTAAATTTTTATTCGCATACTTCCCATTCAGAAATATTCTTTGATAACAGAATGAAAATACTAGTAGAGGCATGATATCCTTAGAGCCGCCGAAGTGGAAGAATACTTAACAAACATCATGCATAATAATATACTTCCGTTTTTATTTCTTATGAAGCAGAGATAATGTAGTTGATTATTTGGTTTGAATCCTCACAGAAATCACATAATTTTTCGCTATTCTCGATTATTAACTTAAGGTTTCTGTTTCAGATAATAGTTAACAGTTGTATCTGTTTTTGTGAGAGCTGTATTCAAATAATTGCATCTACTTTGAATGCTATCCGAATAAATGTATGTCAGTCTAAAAAAGAGAAATTCCACAATAATGTTATACTTGTGTCGATCTATAGAGGTGAAACTAACTATTTCGTGGTCAGTACTTCTGATTTCAATATGTCAGAAAAACTAAAAACAATATTTATTTACCAGAAAATTACCTGTCGACAATATTCCTCTACTGCTCTCCTACGACAGCAAACTTCAACCGGTACTTCAATTTTTATTCCTCGACGAGGACATCGAACGCTAACTAAAACAACACGCATAGCTTCACGACGCTGTTCCAATACCTCTTTTTTTGCCTGCTGTAGAGAAGGATGAAGGTTACTTCGAACTCGAGAATTACTATTTTGTTCATTTGCTCCACATTCTTTACTATTTATTGCTGATGAATTACGACCATTAAGGACAGATGCCATTCCAGAAGCATAATCAGCTTCAAACATACGTAATACACGTACAGGCTTATAAGCAGCACGAACCAAACGAGTGATTAAGCATTGCAATACTCTTGTTACTGATCCAGGACCGAATTGTCGAGGTAGTAGTTCTAGATTAGACTAAAATAAACAAAGTTTTAAGGAAAAAACTCAATCAACTTTAGTGATTAGGAAAACACAAAATATGATAAATCAATGATGTGGAGTAAACCAATAAGACAATTACACCTCATTACTATATGAATGTTTCACACCAACAACTGTTACTTTATTTACCAACCAAAAGCAGAAAATCATATATCAGTTGCATGGAACATACACACATATTTGCATAAAGAAACTAATAGTTAGGTACATCTATTCTGCATATTGTCTTGAAAGCCTTCGATTTTCATCAGACGAAAACTTATATATTAGCACACTTACAATATACTCCAGTGTATATACAATTGAATCGAACCGAAATCCACTTAGCTACCTTGTACACATTTATGCAGTCACACCTATTATGTGCTGACTGACGATACTACGTTGTTGCCCAAACCTTGGTAGGCGTAGCGGTGTTTCAACACATGACCCATTGGTTGAAAGTCAACTTTCTAAACCAATGACCCACAACTCCAACCACATACGATGACTATTTGGATAACAGATCCTCTATATTTAAAGTCGTTTGGTTTTAGTTACACAACTTATTTTGATCACCTATTGATCTCAATCTAATGGATATCGTTTTTTGCATATCACGTCATCTGTTAGTTGGTATTAGTTGTTTTTTTTCTTACACTCCGTATCCCCTTTGTAAAAATCTTAAACCTATCTCATAACATATAGATCAGCAGTGATTTTGATGTGCGATTTACATTTTATTTTCTTTCCTAATACTTTGAATCTTGTAATTCTACAATACCTTATGTCCTATCATTCGGTATTTTATAGGTTAACTGTGATTTACGTAATTGTATGTTAAGAACTGCTATATTTTTGACTGTACGCAACTGATGGATATCCATGAAATAAAGAGGCATCATTTTATTCTACGAATTAATCAAGAAAACTAAATGCATGACAACCTTCTCTACTGTGGATAACACATTACAGTTAGGAAAGGCGTATGCAGAACTGACAGAAGCCACTTTTTCTATGATCTGGAGAAATCATCTAAAATGCGTGAAATAAGAACAGGTGTATGATAGGGAGAAAATGAAGTGCAAAAGTCTGAGAAAGTAAAAAAAAATCTCTATCATTTCTGTTCACATTGAAATCATTTCAATAAATAGATTGGTGAATATAAATGTTGAAGACCAATGGAATTAATTCCCTGGCATATGACATTATTTCATTTATTAGATGTATTATACTGTGAAAGTGTATTATCTTTCATAAATGATATTTTTCTTAACCTCAAGCTAATCGATCATGCATGAACATCAATGAAGATGTAATCTTGCTTTAAAAAAGGCACAGATTCTGAAGAGGAAGTAATGCACAGTTTTACTTTCCAACTGATATTTTTTTTGTATTTCAAAAGCTTATAAAGAATAGAATGATGATGATGATCCATCACAGATACTATGACAATATACCCTCTTGATGTAAAACGCAGGATGAAAAATTATCGAGGTATCTCTATTATTACCTATATTTTTTTCAATTATATGATAGATCGGTTAATAAAGACTGATATGGATAAGAAAAGGGAAGGTAAATGAACTGCGGGAGTACGTTATCGAATCTTGACTCTATCAACAATCTGTAAGATAAATTTATGTACAAGTAATAAGTCAATGAACATGATGATTGAAGGATATTTTGTGTATGCACAGCAATTAGTCCTTACATTGTATCTACTTAGTAAATCTTGAATTTACTGTAATACTAAGTTTGATGCTAAGACTAATTATTATTCCTTTCCAATCTTTAAAAATCCTTATATCCTTCAACTATAATATTAGTCTTATTTAACCATATTTTATTTTCATTTTCTATACGAAATGACTTGATGAGTACATTTATCTCATCAGATTATTTGAAAAATACGGCTTAAATAAATCATTTTCTCGACAGAATAAATACTATCTTCTAATTACGTTATCCTAATTCACAAAAGTTGAAAACTGTCTTCAATTCATCTAAAGAATATATTGTAATTGTGCAGTGAGCTTCAATTAATCTAAATTATACACTTTTAAGTATAAAAGCCTCTCATTGGAATGAAAATGGAATACAATAGAATGAATTGGAAAACGTATATCAACAGAAAGGAAGCTTAATATATCTTACATCATACTTGGAAGTAAACAGTAGAATGGAGGTTACCAGAGGAATGAAGTAACTGTACTTGAAAATATATAGCCAGAAGTTTGAGAAACCTAACTACTGTGATGAATAATTTAAAAAACTGATACTGATATCAAAATACCGGAAACAATGAATCCATTAGATATTTGCTTATGCATACACTTTTAATTCAACGGAGAGATATATGAACCAGAGATAGAAACACCAATATGATCACAAATATCAAGGGCCATAGCAGAAGCAGTACGGCAACGATTGGAGTTAATAATCCTGTCAATCATCATGCCAAAATTATGGACGCAATAAATGACAGACATATTTATCTTCCCTAATATAAAGGATACTGAATCTACTCAAAAACTAATCAATATTATTTTCAAAGGGATCGCACTCATGAAAGAAAACAACGAACAACTGGCATCCTTAGATATCTTGATTACAAGAAGTGATGATGGACACCTTGGAATTCTACTATAAAAGAGTACAACTCAAACAAACCAGATCCAAAATCATGACAGCAACAAATCAGTGTCACACAAGAAAAACTGTGTAACAACGAGTTTAACGTAAAGAGATAAGAAGTAAACGCGACTTTTGTTTTATCTTCATCAGAGGTCCTATAAATCTATTCATTATTTGTATGAATAGGATGCTATAATTAGCGGTCTGTTCCCTCAGTAACAATGTTTTTGATGAAAACGTCCTGGTCAAAAATCACTTGTAAAGTATCTCTAGAGCTTAACTGTAATTGGGTGCAAATGTAACCAGTTAAAAAAAAACCTTTAAACGACTAAACACAGTCTTCGAACTATACATCTGCATAATTCAACAACCGTTACTAGCATAGTGTGCTAGTAAAGAGACAGTAGGCAATGATATTCCTTTGAAAAATAACAGTAAATTAGGATATTTCTACGAAATAACTTAACAAAAGTACATTTAGAAATACTCACTTTACATAGGAAGGGACCAAGGTAACACCTCGAATTGATGAAGATAGGTGGACATATTTCTTCCTTGACATAATTTATCCTGAAACTTTGCAGTTCATGAGTAGGCCTTATACCTCCAGGAATGCAACAGTCTTGTAAAGAAGAAGTATTATTTTCTGATACTTTATGACCAGTAGTAGTAGAATTTCCGAATTGTAGTTTTAATGAACAACTTTCCTGAATATCATAACCACTTGGAGGAATAAGTGGATAGCCAACGAATTCAGACCAGCCAACCGGATATAGATCTGTAGATCGAGCATCCATCAGGATAGGTCTGCGTTGATGATACGCTGCAGCTTCTTGAGAAGCTTTGTCAAATGATATATCCGGAAGAAGCCATAATAAGTGAGGATATTCGACACGCGTGACTGTAGCTGTGCAAAGTGCAGGTCCAATTTCAAAACTATGGAAGGATTCACAAGAAATATTTACAGGAGGCACCATTTCCAACTTCATGCCAAGTAAAAATTTGTTTGAATTTGATTCGTTTTTGTCAAGTTTACAACTTGAATCACTCCCTTTAGGTTGACAACTTTTGGAGGAATTCACAATGACAAAATTCTTTTCAGAGCTAGAATTGCTAGAATTTTCTAATTTCTGTACAGAATTAAATGCATGAATTCCTTTGAAAATCGATTCTGAAGGACAGACAGGTAGATCATTGATAGTTGCTTGGTCTGTTCCTTCGGAAGATACATTTGTACAATGAAATGTATTTATAGTCGCCCTTGAAGAAGTGACACTGATGGTATGCTTTGTGAACTCATCTTGCATAATTACATTATCGGCGGAAATTTCTCCAGATGGAGAGTGATCATTTAAATTATCACTATGTGCAGATAAGTAGGTTAGATAATTAGTCCAAGTAAAATATCTATTCGTAGGCCAACCTGGAGGTGGAGATAAATATATTCCTCGCAGTTGACTTTCATTGACTGGCATAATTTCTGGCATACCTGCATAAGCAATAAACTGAACTTTTGAAGAACCAGATATGTCTTCTTTTCCTGATTTGTTCCCATCAATACGTAAATCATCTAACTCGACAAGAAAATAGCGTGAGTTGAAGACCTATTGAATAGTCAGAAAGTTAAAATGCCATATGAAATTTCATAATTATTATTAAGGAATATATGGGCACGTTAAACACAAAGCAGGGTAGTAAGAAGTGAGCGATCACTCTTTGTTATCAGGCCACTTGAAAAACGATACTACAACATTTAGAAGTATACGCAGCAAAGATGCAACACAGTAGTATGAAAACGCTTAGATACACGTAGAATATCTGAACTTTGAGAAGCTTAGGGATGACTAAAACCATTTGCTTTAAAGATCGGTTGGTCAATATACGATATACAAACAACCCAGCTCAAAGAACACAATACAAACAAGAATATACAAAACTGCTAGACCATATTTCAGTTCCGGGGTTTGTGGGGATCAATTGGCTTGAAGGTAGCATTCATCAAGAACCAATATCACTTGTAGGACCACTGAAAACTTAGAAGCACTGGACAGCTGTTTCGTCTTAGTTTGGGACTCTGCAGTAGTGCAAACCCATAAACCTACCGAGGATCGAACCCAGGGCCGTCATATCTCGTGGACAGCACAATAAAAATTCAGTCATTGGGTCGGAATCCAATGGTCCGTTGGATATTAAACCTCAGTCAAAATCTCCTGAAAACAATCACTACAGTTCAGACTAAACGGTAGTTACCAGGCTACAAGTATTTCTTCTGGAACTGAACAACAAAGTGGGGATGTTGATGAGATAGACAAATAGACAAGAAAATTACTAACTTTTAAACGTAAAAAACATAATCTGATGGGAACGAACATTCAACTGAGCATATATATATTTTCATTGAATTCTGATAAACACTGAAACACAATAATTAACGATGAAGCTATGCAAACACTAAGTGGTTGCATAATCAGGAAAGTAATAGTTGAGTGAATTTTGATATAAAAGTTGCATAAGCCTTTTACAATAAAACAAGTCGTTATGGAACTTTAATCTCCATAACCAAACAAATGAACATTGGATTGACACTCTCCCACATTATGCGATCACTTGATGTGTGCAAAGTTTCAACGAAAAATTATTGCATTTAAATTTTGATAAAATTTGAACGAAAATACTTGAGCAATGATCATCTTAGTGATACAACAAACGAGTATTTCGTATAATTAGGATGAATATGTATTATGTAGGAAAGTGATACCAAAATAAAAATTGACAGACTTGAAAAACGCATTCTTACATTCTAATCAGTAGGTTTCGCTTTAATTTTCTCTTCGGAAGCAAGTAAACATGTATAAGTGATAAACACGAGGAATGTGCTTACCAGTTACCTAGAGATATCTGACTTTCATAAGTTTATTTTACCATGCTGTTAATTTTTGGTAGTTAAACTAAAATCATTGTGATATCCACTTTCCACTACTGATAAGTCAAACGAAAAGTAACTTCATACATCTAACTCATAAACTAAGGTATTGTTCACTGATGATATTATCAAAACTCAATTGTTTTTAACAAAGAGGAAACCTATACAATAATTTAAAGCAACTGATTGCTTTGATAAATCTAAACAGCGTAATGAGAAAACGAAGACTATCTAAAACGTATTAGCCTTTAAAGTATTACATAAAAGTGGTTAGGGTCGAGTGCTTATATCTATTAAAGCTTTTGCCACCCGTAAATTCAAACCCACTTCATGTATACAAAAACAATTTGTACTCATGCTGTACCTTGGTAGTATTGATTTTAATTTTCATACCAAAAGTAACGTGATTAAGACTTTTTTTTCTGTCCTTCCTATCCCTGTTTCCCACTGACTTCATTAACTCCTTTCATAAATTTTCATATAAATAGTTCGACAAGTTCATGTGCGATCAGACTGTTCGAAATGTATAGCACTAATACATCACGTTTCAGATAATCTTCGTTTTCTCATTATGCCATACAATAATTTTAATTTGCGTATGTTTTCAAAGAATGCGAAGATGAATTTTTGAAAGTATACGAGTCAGATTGCACATTTTCGAGACAAAATGTTGGTTCCTAATGGAGGATAAAAGAGCCATCTTCAAATGTTTTCATGCAGGAATGAACTGAGCAATACTGTGTTACATTTGTCAGAGACAAAACTGTTACTTCAGTGTAGTACTCTTTCCACCAGTAATTGATCTGAGTCCAATTATGCATCATAAATCAGCTATAAATAGAAAGGAATGTTATGGTATAATGTATGTCAAATAAAGCACTAGTTTTATGCTTATCTCCCTCTAACTTACTCCTTCGGTACATGATATCAGAGGTTGAATCCAGGACACTTCAACAGGCCTCATTAAGACCTATTTAGCTATAGTCTATAATATGTACAAGCACAGCAAAAAAAACCCAGATATTTCTCGTGTACGACTAACTAATGTCTAGTTCAACTATTAAAACAAAACCACAACTGCGACTTCTCATCCTTTAAGATTCAAAAAAGTTAACTGATAAAGTAGCCCAAGTATATATATATATATATATATATATATATATATATATATATATATATATATATATATATATAACTCACCTTTACAACTGTTGCTGGTTGCACAAAATAGGGTCTAAGTGGATTTATAGCCTCTAACTTCCATCCCACTTTGAACTCATGAAGGGACTGGATACCATTATTAACAGAAAATATTGACTTGAGTAGGAGAGAATCAACAGACTTGGACAGTTCATTATAAGTGGCTGGACAAGCACCACGTATAAAAGCGTCAATGTTCGAAATAGCACGTTCCAATATGTAGCCAGGAGGTGGACAGTATTTGAGCTCAGACAATTTCCCATAACCAAGTGGGTGTAAACGTCGATTAAGGTAAAATAATGTAAACGTGGATAATTTATGACTTTTATCACACATCTGACTCTTTGAGCTCGTTCCAAACCAGGACAATAGAACACGTCCACCAATGTTCATAAGCACCTTAAGACAATCAAATTGACAACGAAAAAGTACTCACCTTTACTGGCCAAACACAAGATGGATCAAGCTCATGTTCACATTCGAAATATCCACCGACTCGAATAGTTTCAAATATATACAAACAACGTCGTTCAAAAAAGATGCTGCAAACAGAACGACCCTGTAGATATGATGCCCAGTCAGCGCTTTGCCAACAATTTTCTTTAAGATTAAGCATGTGAAGAAGTTGATTTGGTGGACTCCAATTAATGTTTTTTGATCGACACCAGCCCATGGGCTGCACACACTGCCAATGTGGACCCTTAACATCGAACCAAAAAACACCATTCAATGGGCATTCAGATTTAGTATGAGGGGAATTTGAGTTAAGATGCATGTTTGCCTCCAATGAATAAAGAGCGATCTCTGGTACACACCATTTAAGAAGAATGAGATAACCTGACACTAACACTACTTCAGCTGGCCACCAAGAGCCTTGAGTATTCACTTCCTTTTGTTCTGCAAGGCATTGGGAATTTACTTCAAGTGTTTCTCCCTCTTTGACAAGCGTCATGAAACTTTGAGTCACATGTGGAAACAGATTAAGTGGAGATATTTCAGCACCCGTTTCCGAAAGGTAAACATGCCAACTGAAATTCAGACCTGACATTACTTCAGAATTGTAAGAGTACATAAATTGTACCCTATCTTACGACTGAAATATTGTTTTGAAGGAAAACACAATGATATACCTGTAGAAATAAGAATTAATCCGTAAAGAGTTACTTGTATATACTGATTAACATAGATGAACATTTTGTCAACAGGCTTGTCACAGTGGTGTTACTTCCCTTTCAAAACCACATGAATCCAGATCATCAGACGAATTTCAGAAAACAAGTGGTAGAAAAAAGAAAGCACCAGTTTTGTTGTATACTTATTAAATCAAAAACCATGAACCAATGTCATTCAGTAGACGAGCTAAAGTGGAAGAGAGGAAGGAAAATAGTTTGATTAGACTGAGAATCAAGATATTTGATATAATGACATGCATAGTCAGATGTCAGTCATGACTAGCATTCACTAATCGACTTCTTTTTATAGTTGGTACTATCGGAATGGCACAGAGAATATAAGTTGAAAGAGTATCATTTCGCATTCCCAGCTGGCGAAAGCATTTAGCCCAGTAAATTTGGATAAATACATTATGCAAATCAAGCTGGTACGGACTTACGTGCAAAGCTGTGGGTCATACTTGTTATGTGAGGGTGAGAAGGGCAAGTTACGTTCTGTTGGGTATTTCAAACCACTGGAAGCGTGTAGACGGTTGACACCTCCCAGCTGCTCACACCATCGAAGATTTCCCACCAGGGTTCGTGGAAGAGATTTTTGTGACCGCAGACCCCTTGTAACATCTGCTTAAGGCTTGTCACACACTGCCTTTTCAGGAATGTTGTTCTAAACCCAGATAGGATAAATTGATGCCACATGCACCGGAAAACTGCTGGGCAGAGAGGCGTTGGTTATTTGAAGGGTCGACCTTTTCAAACCCTTCACCACCTTCCATGGAAAAGGCAGAATCAACATAGCACTGCTAGCCATTTAAGGGAAAAGCTCTACCGTTGTCACACCCCCATGCAGCTAGCAGTAGGGCTTCTCCCTCGGATCCCCATCATAGCGTAGCAATTAACACTATGTCTTACTACGATTCAACAGATCTTTCCGGCACACGTGACCTAATTACCTAGCCTAGTGAGGATTCACTACTTTATCATCTGCTTTACGTTCTTTATCTAGTACCACATGCACAACGGTATTGCTCAGTTTGGTTCCATAAAATTTGAACGCTTCGGAGACATTGGTAAGCATATGCTCAAGACTTTAGCATAAATTCCATCTTCAAAAATAAGTACGTTAATAACTCTAATACCCAAGTACATAAGCTTAGTCAAGAAATACATCTCGAGGGCAACATCCTTTTGACGAATATACAAGCAATTTCGCTGTGTAAAAGACTTATTTCTACTTAGCATTGACTTTAAGTATGCAAAAAGATTTCCTGGATGAATATACACTAACAACAATGGAACGATGAAGGCAAGTAAAATATACTATTGTTGTCGCTCTCAAATTATTTGGATTATTCAGAAATAATACAACCCCCTCTTTCATAGCCCTGGATTTATTTGCTGCTTCCATGTAACGAGGACATTTGTAATAAATTGGAAGATAGTGTCAATTACTTATTTTGGGATTTGTGGATACTGGAGAACCACTTAGAGGTTATCAAAACTCTCATTTCAAACCACAATGAGAATGAGCTGTGCTGGCTGAGGTGATCGTTTCTTGACGTCCCGTCACGCCACATTAGTCCGTTAGCTAGTGCTAAGACTAAAAGCAGTTACCATCATACCGTTGGATGTACAAGATGTGACAGTGGTTAGGTACTTTACACGGATGCTACCTTCTTTGTTGGAGGGAGTGATTGCAAGAGTTTAAACCACGACATAGCACATTTCACGCTTCTCCATAGGCTCCCAGCTCCAACAGTAAGGGTTTTTCGGCATACAGAGACGTAATACAATTCAGCGTACGTCCATCAAAAGAGCTGTATAATCAACTTTGAGCACGCACAGTCTGGACTCTACGGTCACGCGCAGCTTGTTCACTGCTTTTTCAGATACTCCACAGAGACACCAACTTTTATGAGCGCAGCCAGGAAACGACAATTCTCCAAGTATTTCCTAAGAAGTACAGAAATCATCCAAAGATATCTTATCATACTGACATTTTTCCTCTCCTTTGAATTCATTTTCCTACCCCAACATTATGCTTCCAACAATGTTTCCAACTTTTCTTTTTTTGAACTTTTCTAATGATAAGCGCCATTCCCAGGTTTTCTTAAACCACATTTTCGGCATCGAATCAAAATCAGCTTAGCAACCTTCTGAATGTCCATACGACAGACAATGAGCCACGCCTATTTTGGAGGGTTAATGATACTACCTGGCTGCCTAAACCCTTGCAGATAGAGCTGGGTTTCACTCCGTGGCCCATCAGCTGAAAATCAAATGCCTAGACCAAACACACTGTCGGTATTCACAAAGGGAAATAAAAGTTCTTAAACCGTATTCTGAATTAGGCAATAGATACCACCTGCCAAAACTCTGGAATCTGGGCGCATAAATGCATGTCTCTAAGGCACACATACAACACCTAAGTGCAGTTATTACCTTGACCCCACCTACTCAGAGAAATGAATGTGCGAAATTTCGCAAGCGAACATCTAAAGATTCAGCATTTACCTCCTATGAACCAGTTAAGTCGTTGAATATGAAAGAACTAAAAAGAACTGTGATATTTGTCGATCCCTAAATCCAATTCTCATCTACATGCCCATCGAATGCAGTGAAGAGGATGTAAAGACTGCCAAGTTTGCTACAAAGGGCAAAACATTCAGACCGTCATACTGGCAAGTGATTTCAATGTTATAGGCTGTTTTGACAATAAAACGAATAGGGACAAGTGTCTATCCTTCACGGGAGACAGAAACAACAAGTCTGTCTTTAGGTAAGAGGTAAGCAGATATTCATTTGTACATGGCAAAGACTCTCGTCCGGATAAAGTTCGATATAATATTCAGTCTACTGAAGAACCAATGGTGAAGACAGCTGACAACCCGCATCCAGAGGTCATTAAGTTTCGGCAGTTCTCTTTGCATCACGATGGTGAGCGTCCTAGCTTGACAGCTGCATTGAAAAATGATCAACAGAATTCAGTCAACAATTAGGACTAAGCAACACGAAATCGACTGGTGTGCAGCGAGGAATCAATGAATGTGGATCAGCAGCTCATTGATCTAGGTGCTTGATTTTTAACCGGAAGGTCATATGTTTGAACCTCTCTTTAACTATCGATAAAGTAGTATCACAAGCCCTGATACAATACGTGTGGCTCATTGGAATGGATCCCTATAACCTTGTCTAGACTAAAAGATGGGAGAAGACTAATTCGGTAGACTTTGATCAAGATGAGTGAAAGGAGCTTAAAAGTACACTACCTAGGCGCCTTCGAAGTGACCACGACCAGTGATGGGTGACAAAAGCGACAGAGATATCACCGCTGGGTAATACTCAGTAACTATTTGCGTTTATAGATGACATCGGTACGAAAACGATGGTCGGTGGAACTATTGCTGGAAATGATGGTTCACAAGACTTCTCAAAATAGACAGCTCGGACGTTGAGTGGAACATGTCAAAGAACACTTCAAGTGACCGGCAATCACATTCCAGTTGCCCAACATCGCTCTCTGGAGTTGGAAGAGCTGCCTCAAAGTTCAGACCATCAAACTATCAGAATTATGTAGCGGTGGAGGTGGAAAACTACTGTTTAAAGTAACTGAAATACTAGCTAGTGAATATGGATCAAAAGGAGTCTCATTAGACTTGTATAGGTTATTGATCTTTTCAGTTTATAAAAAGAAAAGTCCCTCTGTGACAACCACAGAGTAATCAATATGACAAGACGTCTAAAATCTTAGGTTGTTGCACTAAAAGCTAAGTCAAACTGCACTGCTCAACTATGTACCTACTAACATTCAGTTTGAACAACTGGACAGCATCACTAGCCATTACACAATCGGTACGAATGTGCACAGGGTTGCTGAGTGGATTTCAATTTTTAAACTTCAATCCAAAAAATCTTAGAGGTAAAACTCTGTTACTAGTTCTGTTCATAACATTGACTACTACCATACAGTCATCTACCTCCATTGCTTCAAGTCATCAAACGGGTTAGGCAGGGTTGCCTGACTGCCATTTTTATTCAAACTGGCCATCGACAGTATCGTTGCGAAAAGTTTGAGGGAAGAATGCGGTGGTGTACAGATTTCGGATGCAAAGACGCTTATTCAACGACAATCAGAAGTCAGTAAACCCCAAAGGTTCTCTGTAACTTTACATGAACCAGTCAACATATGGAGACTCATTTAGGTTGGTCTTGGTCAAAATCAGCAACTGAATTAGTGTCAATTGAATAACCTTTTGTAATGATTGCTCCAGGCTGTAGGTGGTAAGAGTTAGAGATGCTAAGATATCAGGTCACTTCTGTTAGCTTTTCAGATCTGTTAGGAATTAGTCTAAAACAGATAACTGAAAGTATAGTTGAAAAGATAGGTGTGATTAACTTACAAAAGTGGGTGGAACACAGGAATAGTTCAATTGACCTATGGTTACTGCTCGATCCTCTAGCATCCGGCCTTAAAAAGTGCAACAGAAATCAGCCACATGAAACTTCTGTCAAGTTACTTGTTACGACGGTTGTCAGAAAGGAAATATGGCTCAGAGTTAATCTAAGAGGTACATCCACATATTATCTCTACCCTAATCGTCATACTGAATTTTACTATCGTCTCATTCCTTTTTGTTCTTTTTGATGACTTTAGACCGCTTTTCATTTTGTTTCTGTCTTTCATCTTAGTGTATTCTCACTTGATGGGCTGATATAAAGTGTGCTAACTTGCAGTAATGTCAGGTTCTATGTTGATATTGCCAGGCAACTGCTGAGTGTAGAATACGGGTAGACTATACGTACAAATAAAATAGACGACAACTAAATCTTTGCAAGTTACTACGTTAAAGATGTATGAAGAAACTGTGATAATAAATAATGAACCAGAAAGATTTGTGCAGTGCAATGCAGCTGCAGTGAAAGATATTTCATGTGATGATCCATATTTAGTGCCTTTGAAAGCGTTTGTCAGGATATTTTCAAGGAATTCTATCCAACATTTGTATTCTATTTTGATTACTACATTTATATGGCCTGTCAGAGGCTCGAAAAAGAGTGATGAGTCCGAATATGTTTAAAGGATAGGCACTAAGCTGAGGCCCGATGCTTCTGACCTGTGCCATAAGAGGCATTAGGATGGACTTAATCTCTTTCCGCTATTTTATCGTAAGGAAGAGGTTATCCCATACTGGCAGTTAGTGTCGTTATTAGCGACTTTTTTCTCTATCCCTTCGAGAGTGACAACTTCCACTTTCACTACAAGAAAATACAAAACACACACCTAGTGCAAAACTTCGTTTCTTGATAACTTCCCACTTACGCAAATCGAATAAACTATGACCGCGGCTAAAGAAGAGTGTGCCATACATTTGAATAAGTTCTAAGCACACAGATGGTTACTCATTTGAAGGGTTTGCTGGAAACAGGTTTAGCCTCTGCAGGTGAATTTCGATAAATGTACCTCGACAAAGTAGAGTCCGGAAGTAAAATTCCGTCTCAAAGAACTACCAACCAATCTTTGCAAACCCAGGGGCTTCGATGTGTTCTACTTTATTTAGCATGCTTTATGAATGCATATCAGTCACCTAATGGGGTTTTCTGTGAAGTTGGAACGTCTAGCATCAGTCGTGCTGAATTATCCCTATGGTATTCTGTAACTTCTAAGTGATGGGTTTAGATGCGCTTAGGAATTCATGGTGATATATTTATACAAGTTTGCAGACTTATTTTGCCGCAGGACTATGGGGAAAAGTGGACTTTAGAAATTTGGTGAATATCGGAGAAAAGAAAGCTTTCACCTTGTGAACAAGGTTTCACAACTCAAAATTCACTCCAGGTGTTAACCGGATCAGAAATGTTTCACGAAATTCCCTCTTTTTATATTAATCTTACCGGCTCAACGTTCGAACTGATAGCATATTAAGGGCATATAGACAAAATCACAGCCACAAATACAGGCATGAAAACATGAGCTACAAAACCTGGATATGGAAGACTTTGCATTTTACAGTATCTATGTAGGCACGTAGTGACCAAGGGAACTACCTCCTGGCATACTTGGATTCACTTCAGTGTGTGTGCCAAAGCACTTCAAGGGCGTGTCCAATATCCAATGTTAAAACAGTTGATTACTTCCTTCATGCTATCTACCGTTGAGTGGTGAGCTCAGGTCGTAAGCCTATCATGCTGTAACCTTGGGAAATAACTGGTTTCAGGATGATTCAAATTCAACTGATGTCCTGTTTTCGGAGATGTCAATGGGCATTAAGTGGATGCATATGACATCAGTCACGGAATTCTGTAATATGCTCATGTGAAGATATCTCCAGAATTTTATGGAAGAGACTTCAGTGCAGCAAGCCTGTTAGGACAGGCAGTGATGTTCTTCACTAGGTGTCTTACTAGGGAATCTGATGCTGTTAGATGAATCTAACGGTATAAGTAACCTGGATATTCTCCACCCCTGTTGAGTAGGAACCTCCCTGGATTATAATACAGGTAAGGTGATACTAGGATGTAGCCAAAGCTTATGGGTATAGTCCTTTATTGGTTTGTTTTAAAGTGAATGAAACTGTGCTGTCACAAAATTTACTGTCTAACATGCGAGAATTATCACCCCCGACCCGCTCTTCGGCAGTGACGTCACGCGTTTCGTGTTCTCACGTTGTTAACCTCTTTTGTGCATTGTTTGATAATCACACACTTTAGCAAACTGATTTTTATGCAGCCTCGCCACCTCTTCTCGGTTGGTACCTGGATTATCTTCTGGTTCATCTCACCAGCGCATAACCTAGTAACCCACCGTCGGCTTTTTCTACCACGTCGTATCTGGGACCAATCCTATGTACATAAAAGATTTTCGCGGACGGCTACAATAGTTTTTGGAACCCTTCAGTTGAAGGAATTCTACTGAACCCTAAGAATACAAAGATGAGCCGAAAGAAACAATGTTTTTTGAATTTTTACCGTATCGGCTGAACTTGTTGGTTTCTGCGCATCTCACTTCCATTCACCAGCAAATATTAACAGTAGAACAAAGTTTATATTACTATTATTACTCCGAAACGTTTACTTCAAATGATAACAGCGATGGTTAAGTTCAGTAAACGTATATGCGCAGTCGGGAGACTTATTCCAAACTCTTGCCGGCCAGCGAAGAGACAAAAGTCGCCGATCGAGTCTAAAACACCTCTGAAAGGTACGCCTGAGTTGTTTGTGCTAAACGTAATGTCAGACTCACTTAGCGACTCGAATGGTATCAAAAATGACATACTGTCACTCCAGAGTACCATGACAGATAATAATACTAATCTACCCAAACATGCCCCACTTGCATAGCAGAAGAAATCACAAAGAGAATCACGTCATCTAGTAATGCTTTGGTACGTAATCTTTCTGACCATATCCCGGTACATCACCTGAAAGACTTATGTCTGTAAGCATGCTGTATTCCGCTAGTAAAATGTCACGTTGTCAGATTGAGGAAGATATCAAGTGATGACACTTGCCCACTTCTTTTTGGGTTTAATTGCACCTGGCATGCTAGACTCTTCCTAAAACCTGGCAAATCTATTGGAGCTCATAATTCCTATAGAATTGCTTAAGTTACGGAAGATTTAGCACCGTGCCAACGTCTCACTCGCAAATTTCAGTCAGACCTCCCACTTGATAACGCGGAAACTAAGTCCGCTGCTTATCAAACGAGTAAACAAATACACCAGACAGTAGGTACAAGTTCAGCTCACTTATCCATGACCTCGACTTTCATAATCCCTTATGGATAAACAATCAGGCAACAGTTGGCCCCATTGATCTTGATCTCTTGAGACCAAACGCTGTCTCTACAAGAAAACATCGTGGTGCTGGCATAAATAAAGCGGCCATGAAAGAAAAGCTCAATAATCTGGCTCCGTTCACTGAAAGCCCTACCCACAACTGTCTCTCTACTAGGACTCACTCAAGCAATAATGAGCCTATGAACTCACCTGAAAATGCTTTCCTCGCAAAAACCAATGACTTGTCTTCCGCACAACCCAATGTGAAACCAGGAGATCAGCTGAAAGTTTCGCTGTGTCATTCTATTTCTTAGTCTAGGACGACCGATGTTCCAACTGAAAATATATCGACACATCCCTGATGCATTTTGAGCACGAACCTTAACTAGCCCAAACTATTTGGTGACCAGAAACTATCACTTCCAACAACTGACTGCATTTCTCACCACTCTGACTGAACTGCCCCAAGCTTCAGCCGGATAGTGAAGTCACTCTCCTGAGTGGTAAACCGCCTTATCTTAAAGATAAAAGGCGGTTTCAAGCCAAGAATGGCCAGGCCAATCCTTTTTACTCCAGATTCTTTACTAGGCTCAACAATGGTTGTTCAGTCACCGCACAGCTTCTCCCTGAACCTACCTTTAGCGACCGTTATAGTGATCTTAGAGTGTTTGCTTAAGCAGCATCCTCCCTCCCACGAACACAGAGTCAGAAATCGTTTGCAGGGAAAACCCACTGTTCGCTTGATGAGCCAAGGTATCGTCAAGCGCATGCTCTGAATCCTCCTACACCAGGTAAAAGTGCCCACCATACTCAGTCCGCCAGTGAATTTGACCGCCATGACTATGCAACAAGTATTCCTGAGCCCATTAAAAGCTTAGAAACACCATAAGGGTGGATAGCAACTTTAGAAAGCCAGGTGATTCAGCCGGTCTGCAGTCACATGCTGAATGTGATTGCAAACAGGGACCTGGAACGGAACGGTATCACCCCCCTTTGCAACTGCCAGACTAGCATCCATACCATACCCTGATGATAAAAACAAAAGCATATCGTTCCTTGATCCCAGTGGATGTGGGTTAGAAAAGTGCCACATGACCACGAATTACCTGGGTAACTCAATCTTTCCTTATCACATCTGATGTGCTTAAGGCCGATGTTGAATCGACGAATATGCCTAACTCTACCGTTTCTGTATCTGGCTGTCCCCTAGCACTTCCCTTTAACATTAGCAAGAATCATTTGCCCGACACCACACATCTTGCCTGTAGCCAGCACTCCATGCTCCCTAACGACATTAGTGAGTTATTCTTTCAAGATATGCTTGGTTTCTGTCAACTGCTAGGGCATTCTTCCTTTACCCCTAATAAATGCTCGCTCAGTCTGCAATAAGATATCCAGCTTGACTTTGCCTGCGTTGTTATGCTGCCCCTCAAACACTGTGAGGGACTGAGTCATGGAACACCATAGATGTTTCTGACTCGAGCATTTGCCTTGACAACTACACGTTTTTTCCTGGTGATGGAATAAATGGCCATGAAGGTTGCTGCCTCGTGCATGTTAGTTCATCTGTAGATTCCAAGCAGGATGACATCCTGGATCTAAGAATTTTAAAAAATTCTGTCCTGGTTATTCTGAAGTCCGCAAGCTGCCCGTCCTTCCTTTTCGGGTGCGCGTGTCGTCCTCCCAATCCCACGTCTGACTGCGATGATTTGTTGTTAGAACCCGTTAGGTTCATCCAACACATTTCATTTTCGGGAAAGACCTCCGAAGACACCTAGCACAGTACAGAAACTACCCTGACATTAACTGGGAGGACTTTTAGTTCGCACTAGGGTGTTTAAATTGGAAGGCTGCTTTACCGGTACGTCTGTTGAAGCGCCGAAAACCGTTCTTTATCATAACATGTGCCGTGACCGTGGGTAGTTTGCTCCAGAAGAGAACACTATGTCTCCGATCTCGAAAACGCTGTTTATGCCAACCCGACTTCGAAGTTGGCTCCAGAAACGTGCTACTCGTTTTCATAGGCCACGTAACTTTCGTTCGCCAGTCACGATGTCTAACATTTGTGTTCACGCAAATGCTCTACGTGTACAGGAAGCCACCGGACTGGAACGTCCGGTTCTATCTTCTGGCACTAAAGAATTTCTGACAAAGATCCTCAAGTCCAGACCGTAACTATCTAAATCCAAAATGATAAAACGTATTATTAGCAATGGGCAGGTGCACGCTGACCCCGAGCAAACTGTGGAGATCTTCAGTAACCACTTTGGTGCCTCAGTAATAAACGACAGCAATGCATTTGGGTTACAGTGGTCAACAGTACCTTCCTCCAAGATTGAAAACATGAGGTTCACAGTATAAAATATTTCTGCGGCGATTAACACGCTGAAACTTCGTTTTACTGATGGTCTGGATGGAATACTTGCCATAGCCTTCAAAACGGAGGTGAAGACATGCCCCTGTTGCTTCCGAAGTTAAATAAATATCTTTATTCTCAAGTTATGAAGTTAACATGAGAGAAGTCAGTTTACAGGCCTCATCATACTGATGATTGCAGAGAAACATAAAAGTTTTGAGCAGTTTTGAATGGTACATAGGGAGGATACTAAAATCTATCATGATATCAAGTGTCCAAATGTTACGAAAAGAGCAGGAAAATATGACTTTACAGTACATACATATTGTTCTGAGTTTAGATCATTCCTACCCACAATTCTGTTTTCACATCAGATGGTACAACATTCCGTGTTTGCTTTATTAGTAAGTATTTTATTCTCAAATTAACAGTTTAACATGAAAGAAGCCAGCTTACAGGCATCATCAAACTGATAATGGTGAAGAAATCTCCAGTAGTTGAGCTGTCCTGAATGATACAGAAAGTGTAGCATCGGGGTTTATCATGATAATAAAAGTGACTACAAGTTACGAAAAGAACAGAAAAATATCGCTCCGCAATACATTCAGATGGTTTATGAGTTTTGGTTGTCTCCACTCACCATTCTTTTTACATAATAAAGTGGTACAAAAATCGTTCAATATTTGAAGTTTGCGTTACATGTGACTTAGATGGTTAACCTGGTGGTATAGTTCCGTGTTTCTTCAGATAAACGTTTATTTTAACATCGGTTAACATGTTTATAGTGTCGTTGGCCAACGAAAACTCACTTCATCGATTTCAGGCAACGGTAAGTGTCAGCATAACCAGGTAATCCACATGAGTATGTAAGTCTTCGCATCTCCCACTCGTGGTGTGACCTTGCTCAGCAATAAAGACGTAATCCATTAGGATTAGCTGTTGCTGT